AAATTATAGAATTATGTAAGAAAGTTGATCCTGTTATGCCTGATTCATTAAAATTAAAATATTTGATGGCTGGTGTAAAGGAATCATTAAAAATACATGTTGCATTACAGGACCCGAAAACAACAGATGCATTTTTATCGATTGCTAGAAAAGTTGAAGATACATTAACATTAACAAGTACAAATAATGAAGTGCAACAAAATAATGTTAATATCAATGCTGCTACATTTCAAAAACCATCAGTACGACCAAATATTTCACAGAAATCTATTAATAAAACTCGCCATAATACTTTTCAACATTTACAATCACAACCATATCGGAAAAATTATCAGCATAATGTACAAAATTCGAACCAACAAATTCGGAATCATGCTCCTGCAAGATATCCACAATATGCATCACAATCAAATAATTGTTATAAATGTGGTACTCCTGGACGTTATGCTCGGTATTGTACTCGTACCCATTTCGGGTAAAGGAAGTAATGGTCGGTGGTGTTACTTCCAATACTTTATATGACAATCCATCGACATCCAACACATCTCTTTTATATCTTAATGTTTTTGTAAATAATAAAAAAACGAAGGTGATGCTTGATACTGGTGCAAATCGAACCTTTATTTCAATCAAAGCATTACATCCTTTAACTAATAAACAATTTGTTAATAAATCATATAAACGTGTAATTTTAGCATATGGTAATACTTCTCTTTTTATTTTTAGCACATGGAACTTATCTATTATTATGGGAGATATGTTAACTTCTATTCAAGCATTTGTTGTTAAAGAGTTATGTGCTGATTGTATATTAGGCATGGATTTTATTAATACATATAAGTTAATCATTAACACGGAAGAACAGATGGTATCAATATGTAATAATCATCGACGTACAACATTAAAATTTGATCTCAATCAAGGAGATATTAGTTATCCGACACGTTTAATTAATAATATTCGAATTCCACCCAAACTAACAGTGTTAGTTCCTGTATCTGTTAGATTATCATCAGCAAAAGTGTTATTTCGTCCATCTTTCAAATTACAACAACGATTACCTATATTAATGTTAAATTCTTCATTAACTGTTCATCGTCATACTTCATTTATTTCATTACATAATCCGACAAATTATCTTTGTTCATTACCAAAAGGTATTATATTGGGAACAACTACTATTTCTACATTATCCTTTAAAAGAAATTTAACTATTGATCATCGATTAGTGAATAGGAATATTATTAGTTTAATTCAACACATTGACGATCATGAACAACAGGATAAAGTTAGAATCATCCTCAATCAACATGCAAAATTATTTGATACTAGTAAACCTTCAATTGCAACTGGCGTGAAACCACATGCAATAAAAACTCTCGATCATCCTCCACCAACATCTAAACCATTTTATACTTCTCCAAGTAAACAAGAAGAAATGTACAAGATAACACAAGAATTATTACATTTTGGTTTAATTCGTCCATCTTATTCACCTTATACAACACCTGCATTACTTGTACCCAAACATGATGGTACTTGGCGAATGGTAGTAGATTATAAGAAATTAAATAATATTACAATCAAAGATAATCATCCATTACCCAATCTGGGACAAGCAATCCAAATATTAGATGATGGTTATAAATTCTTTTTGAAACTCGACATGAAAAGTGGGTTTTGGCAAATTCCAATTGAAAAAGAAGATAAACACAAGACTGCATTTATCACCACTGAAGGTCTTTATGAATGGAATGTTTTAGCTCAAGGATTAAAAAATAGCTCGCCATCATTTCAACGAGTAATGGCCGATATATTATCTCCATGTCGTCAATTTGCATTAGTTTATATTGATGACATTGTGGTCTTTTCTCGCTCATTTGAAGAACATCTTGAACATATTCAACAATTATTATCAATTTTATTGAAATACAATTTTCAACTTAATCCAGCAAAGTGTAATATTTTTCATCAACACATTGATTATCTATCTCATACGATATCTGAATTTGGTGTTAAACCTAATAATGAAAAAATTCAAGCAATTATTAAATTGAGGGAACCTTCTACATTAGCAGAAGCAAATAAGTTCCTGGGTGCCATTTTATGGTACCGAAAATTTATTCCTCAATTTGCTACAGTTGCAGCACCTTTCCATCGAGTAACAAATTTAACCAAACCAAATCGAAGACAATTTGTTTGGGGTGATGTACAAAAACAAGCATTTTTACAATTAAAAGAATTATTAATTAAATCTCCATTATTTCTTGATTTTCCAAATGATAATTATTCACTTATATTGACAACCGATGCATCGAAAGTGGGTATAGGTGGTACACTACAACAAAATATTGATGGTGAAATTAAAAATTTATATTATCATTCTCAAGTTACGACCTCTACACAACGACGATATGATCCTATTGAATTAGAAGCATTGACTATATGGTTATGTTTTCAACGTATGCGATCTTGTTTGCTTGGTAGATCAATACTAATTTATACTGATCATTGTCCCTTATGTAAAATGATGAATTCTACCGTCAAGAATCGTAGAGTAGATCGTATATCTATTTTATTACAAGAATATAACATTGAAAAAATTATTCACATGAAAGGTCAAAAAACTTGTTTAGCCGACTATTTATCTCGTCTTCCAATACAATATCAAGAAGATATATTTGATGTAGATTATGGTATAAATATGTTATTTCAAGGGAAACCACTGGAAATGGTGCATATTCCTGAAAACAATTCTCAAATTGTTGGTGCTGTTGTTACACGTTCAAAAATGAACCAAATAGCCCAACAACAAGATCAAATTCATACAACCATACCATCAGTTACAAATGATAAATCATCTTCATCAAGTCAAGAAAAAATTGAACATTCAGATGAAGTTACGTCAGATTTAATTACAGCTAATAATTTTGATATAACTCAAATCAAAATTGAACAAGCAAAAGATCCAATTATTCAAAATAAAATTGAAGAAATTATGAAAGATCCAACAAAACATTCTTATGTATGTAAAGATGGCTTATTATACAAGTTAGCATTAATGCGTAGTAATTCCACTACAAAAACAAAATTAATTTATTTACCATCATCCATGATTAATTCCTTCCTTCAATTGTACCATAATGATCCACTTAGTGGTCATTTTGGCGTTCGGCGTACATATTTAAAGATCAAAAATAAATTTTGGTGGCCAAAAATGAAACAATCGATTACTCAATATATACAATCGTGTTTAACTTGTCAGCAATACAATATTAATTGATCAAAGAAACCAGGACAACTTTATCCAATTCCAGTGCCAGAAGGACCGTTCCAGTTAATTGGTAT